GCCGGCACATAAGGTCAGGAATTGGCCCAAAATAACTTGGGACACTGAGCAGACGGATGCAAGCAGCATATCTTGATGGAAAGGAAGCCAAGGTGATAAGCTGAAACAGTCTACCCTCACCAGGTGCCCTCACTCCTGCTCCAGGAAGCCTCTGCGTGAACAAGAGAGACACATCAGCACGAGCAGGGTTGGAGTTTCCTCTCATCGCCGCTTTCATTCTTCCGTCCCTAAACATTGGAAACCATTCCACTTCCCAGGAGCACACAGACCCTGAAGCTATTTTTTCCCCCAGACATTTCATGACTCTAGTTTGTACAACAGCAGGCGCTGGCGATGCTGCCAAGTTGTGAGAGAAGGGTGCCTTATCCGCAAAGTCACGACTCTGAGAATCCAAATGGGCTACCTTTGGCAAGGGCGAAAGGAAGCTTCTCGGTGGAGAGACTGGGAGGTCTGGGGGGACTGCAGGTACATGTTGTACTGTGGTATACCCCTGGGGGAAAGGTGGTTAGGAGCTTCTCAGAACCTCCACTGGGACTGCGTAACAGTGTCTCAGTGGAGGTCAGTTTACTTGCAAATAAGCCACTCAAACCAGCTGAAGCAAAGCGGGGCACGTCCGGGGAAGAAACGCCAGTTCCTCACTATCCGAGCGAGACTCTTCGGCTTTGCCTACCTCTTGACTCTCTAGTGGTCCTGATCTCCTTTCAGTAAATTCCCTTTCTGCTTCAGTTAGCCTCAGGAGGTTTCTGTTGTGCAACCAAGGAACCTTGAATGAGACAAAAGGTCCAGTGGGACCCAAGGGTGGGTGTTGGAACTGACTTCCATAAAGAAAGGAACTAGGAGCCAGAAAGTGATCAGGACTCAAGGTAACTTTCTCCTTCTGCGTAACTGGGAATATGTTCCGTTTCAAATACGGAAACCTTGAGGTGGGTAGATTGTACATGTGGAGCCCACCTTCCTGACTCTGGCTTTGTCTGACCGGATAGCAACAACCGCAGGAGGTGAAAAGTGCTTGTGCCTCGGGGCTTGCTTTCAGCTGCTGCTCTTGGGAACCTGTGACCCCACCTGTGAATGAGCAAGCACGCTGAGCAGAGGCCAGCTGTCCCAGCTGAAGGAGGCCTCCCTAGGCCCTATTTCTCAACCTTGGTACGATTAATATATTTATTTATTTTAAAAGAAATATTTATTTAATATTTAAAAATAATTATTTATTTAATTGCATTTATTAATTGTTATTATTATTATTATTTAATTTCCTATAGGGCACATGCACTCACCAGAGAGAGAGAAAGCAAGAAAGCAAGCCACCAGGTCGAACTGCATTCAGCCATGTGGGAGCGTGTTAACCATCATGCCACCTGCTGGCCTCTTTATTATTATTACTATTTTAAAGTTTGCTATAGGGCATGTGTGCTCACCAGAGAGACACAGAGAGACAGAGAGAAAGAGAAGGAAAGTGAGGAAGCAGGTCACCAGGTCTGGGACTTGAACCACAGTCGGCCATGTGTGAGTCTAGCACCTTAACCACCACGCCACCTGCTGGCCCCACTGTTCACCATGTTAGGCCAAATAATTTACTTTGGGAGTTGTTCTGTGCACTGCAGGGTGTTTAGCAGCAGCGTGGCCTCTACCCACTAGATGATGACAATGCTCTCTCCCCCCCAGTTGTGACAACCAAAATTATGACTGGATATTGCCCGGCGTCTCCTGGTGGGAGCTACATCATCCTGGTTAAGAACCACTCCTAACCCAGTTTGTCTGCTGGTGACCAGGCATGTCCAATGAGGCCACCCTAGACCATCCGGCCCCAGTCAAGCCAGTCTGGGCCAGTAAAGGTGCCCAGTTGGACTCATGGCATCAGAAAATATTATAAATATTTGTCATTTCAAGTCACTAAGTTTTGGATGGTTTGTTCCACAGCACAGATGTATACACCTGACCACAGTGGCTTAAATAAATAGGGATTTATTTGTTTTATACCACAAGAAATATAGAGGTAGGCAGGTTAGTCATGGTGCAGAGCCCGGTGATGCTCCCAGACACACACGCAGATCTGCTTATTTTCTGATCCATTACCCTTGGCAGGTGGGTTTTGGCCTTTTGCTTGTTGTCAGGAGATCCCTAAGACGGCTCTAGCTCCAAGTCTGAGCTCCACGAGTGAAAAAAGGGGACAAGGCAAAGGGACTAAAGGCAAAGTTCCCTCCTCATGGAGCTTGCCTTTCATTCTGGAAGGGAAGCCCTCCCAGGGGCTTTCACTAATATGTCGCCAGCCAAATGTACACAACGCGGCCCACCTTAGCTGCAAGAGAAGCAGGGAAGTCAAAGCTCTATGGAAAGGAACACGACAGCCATGTAGTGGCCTGGGAGCCTTAGTATCTGCTCAGCACCTGCAGCATCTGCTGCACTCCCTTTGGAGCTCTGAGGCTTCCTGCATCTACTCGAGCCTTCTTTTCCTGAAGCCTGGGTTTGCTTTTCTGAACACGGGGAGGAAATGGCCACACCAGCATGGAACTGCTAGATACTCAGCTCCAGCACCAAAAATGACCCGAATGACGTCTAGTGTTCTACTCTCAAATACCTAGGACAGAGATGCCGATTGGCCCTGCTTGAATTAGAAATCTGATTGGTCTGGTTTGAGTTGGTATCTACCACTCGGACAATCAGATAGAGCCGAGGTAGAACATTACGTAGGGCCCACCTGAAGGTGAATGGGGAGGCTGCCTTCCTGGGGAAAGGGGATGTATGGTTGAAGAGATAGCCACGAACTATGTAGTTCAAGAACGAAGACAATAAATTGCCACCGTGGGCCGTAACATTGATATGATAAACATGACCATGTCCTTTGAAAGATCTAAAATGCAGTGGAGTCACATAGGCATTATATTGAACTTATGCCAATGCAGATATACATGTTCGACAACCAACCAGCGTATTTTTTCCCATATTATTTGCCAGCCAGGTCCTTGCTGTCTAACCAAGTGATCTGGTGCTTAAGAAAAACATGCTGTTTTGGACTTTGGGGATACGGCACAGTCTAAATGATACCAGATGCTTTATGGGGAATTTCTGGGATTTTCAAGGTTATTATTAACATTATTTTTAAGGGTTTTGCCGCAGGGCATGTGTACTTGCCAGAGAGCGACGGTTAGAGGGAAAGTGAGAAATCAAACCCAGGGAAGATGGCCACACCACAATCCCTTCTCTTCCATTCTCCTCCTGGGATTTTAGGCATGCATTCGCACGCACACGCACACGCACACGCACATGTACCTGGCATGATTTTCAAGCCACCAGGAATGGGACTCAAATTGTACCTTACCTACTACACCACCTGCTGGCCCCTCAAGGTTATTTCTCAGGTCACGTAGTGCTCACCTTTCATTGTTTCTCTTTTTTAAAACTTTATTTTCATGAGAGACAGAGAGAAAGACAAACACCATCAATGCGGGCTCTTGCTGTAATCCCCTCCCAGCCTCTTCCAGCCAGCCCGGATCATGGCGCATATGCTCACCTGGAGTGTGCTAGTCAGCCTGGGAACCGAACCCATCTTCCAGATGGCTTCCAGCCCTGCAGAGCACTGTACTACCACTATGCCACCACGGCTGCTCCATAGTGGCATACTTTCCTTACTGGCTTTAGATCTTAGCCCTGTGGAGGGTGTGCCTTTAGGGTAGGATCACCCGAAGAGCTTGTCTTATTTCCCTGTAGTTTTAATCAGTATAAAGGAAACATTTAGTTTTAATATAGAAGGTTTTTTATTGTGTGTGTTTTAACAATTTTTTTTTTTCAAATCCAAAAGTCAACCATATAGGTGACTTCCGGCTCTTCCTCCTGTTTTGTTTGGCTACCTGGTAGTGAGGAAATGGATAGAGGGAGAGAAACAGAAGCAGAAAGTGAAGTGAGGGAACTGAGGGTCTCTGAGCGCCATGGCAAAGCAGTATGTCCACCTGGGCCACGTGTGCTCCTCGGTGTCTGGGAACTTGGCTGTCTTTGTGGCCTGGGACTGGAACTGCTGGCCCATATTGGTGTAGCAGAATGGACAGTATGAGATGGAATTAAAAAACCTGGTGCAAGGCCCAACTCTTCCTCTTCTTCTTCTTTTTTTTTTTTTTGAGAGGTTTTTGCTATAGGATGTGTGCGCTTGCCAGAAAGACAGAGAGAGACAGAGAGACAGAAAGCGAGAAATCACCTCCCAGGGGGGATGGCCACGCCGCAATCCCTTCTCCTCCATTCTCCTCTCAGGATCTTGGGCTCACACGCTTACGTGCCCAGTGAGAGTTTAAGCCACTGGGCCCAGGACTCGAACTGCAGTTGACTACATGGGAGTCCAGCAACATAGCCATTAGGCCAACTGCTGGTCCTAAGCCGGCCCAACTCTTGAACTTACTAGCTGTGTGATTTCAGGCAGGCCATTTAACTTCTCAGGGCCTCAGCTTCTTCCTCTATAAAATGGAGAACATAATACTTTTTACCCCCTAGGGTTTGGAGAGGATTAAATGAGAAGTGTTTTAAAAACTGCAGAGCTTCTTATAAATGTTAGTCATTATTACAGAAAGGATAAAACTGACAGACTTCCTAAATTTATTATAATAAACAGATATAAATTCACAACACCATGGCCCTGGTAGCCCTGAGGTTACCATCCTGCGCTGTGGCTGTAGTACTTATCTTGGGTTCTCTCGACGGCAGGTCTCCTGGAACTCTTTGGAGATGTGATGTTTGGGTACACCATGGCCAAACATGGACCCACATAACTGTAAATACCACGCCCAGGAGTCTGGGCTACACACTTAGATTCTTCATACACTTGAGTGCGTATGCATTCCGAGGTATTTTAGAAGAAGAACCCCTCTCCTCACATAATCTAAAATACAGTACTGCGCAAAATACCAGTCTAGAATGCAAAACGCTTGGTAAAAATCTTTAAAGTCCTATACAAGCATCCTAGTATTTAGACATGGAAGAATCAAACCAACTCATGGAGCGT